TAATCAAAGTAACTTGTACCACAACCAGTGTTCCAATACTTAGGGTGACTAACTAGTAATCAAAGTAACTTGTACCACAACCAGTGTTCCAATACTTAGGGTGACTAACTAGTAATCAAAGTAACTTGTACCACAACCAGTGTTTCAATATTTGGGGTGACTAAGTAGTAACCAAAGTAACTTGTACCACAACCAGTGTTCCAATACTTGGGGTGACTAACTAATAATCAAAGTAACTTATGCCACAACCAGTGTACCAACATTTGGGGTGACTGAGTAGTAATCAAAGTAACATTGTAACCCTTATGAGAACACAAAAGTCAACTGGTTCTATATCTGTTATTGTGTAGTTGACACCAAGATTGTTTTTTGATTTCTTAGCCAGCAGAGAAGCGGCATTTATCCATGCCGTTACTGCTGCCGGGGTCGTCTACAGTATTGGCCGCGGGTGTCGGGACGGACAACTTGGAGGCTGCGGCTGTAGTCGAGCTGCCAGGCCGCACAACCTGCATCGCGACTGGGTCTGGGGAGGCTGTGGAGACAACATTGAGTACGGCTATCGGTTCGGAGAAGGATTCGTTGACGTCCGAGAACGAGAAAAGAAGCTCCGCCGAGGATCCACTCAGCAAGCCCGAAAATTAATGAATCTTCATAACAACGAAGCTGGCAGAAGAGTAAGTGCATGGTTTCGTACTGTTCTTCTTTTGTCAACAGTAGAACTTGTAATTTTAAAAACAAACAAAGAGCAACACCTAAGCTCAGCTTAACATCGCGTGCACTTTCATAGGCTATATTTGTTATTAAACAAATCTCAAAACAAAACAAAAAACAGGGTCTTTCCGTAACTTTATCTGGTTTAAGGGTTGGTGATATGGTTCATAATGGGAGGTTTTATTTTTTATCTCTGGTAAGCGCTTTAAGCTTTATAAGAACAGGTGTATAACGCCTAAATTGGCGAAGCCTCAGCGTAATTGAACTACATTCGTGCTTAGCATGAACAGAGTTTCAGCTAAACCTGGGTGTGGCAGCAGCCGGTCTTAATGTTATTGAGTGGAAGACACTGTCAGCAGTTGGCTGAACAACAAACAAAACACACTTGAAATGTTATTACCTTTTAAAGTAATTTTCTTAGTGCGACCTATAATGGGCGAGATAATGATATAGTGCTAAAAATATCGATTTTTGTTTTTTTTTAGCTTTCTTTAGAGTTCCAGCCCATAACATTATTGTCAGTTTTATTCATAGGATACATATGTAGCCTTGATAGGACGCGATACTGATTTTGGCTATCGTTTTGTAGACCCTAAAAAATATTGTGACTGCTTTAATAGACATGGCGCTATAGTTGGATCTTCTGCCACTAGGATAAATAATTAGCTTAGTTTAACATGAGATATTTTGTCAAATATTAACAATATTCATCAGTTGGTTCAAATAAAATGAAGGTTTTAAAATAGCATATTAAAGGTGATTATAAAACAAACTTCATATTTAAAATGTTTATTTCTTAAAAATTCTCTGTCCTGTATTGAGAGTCGGGAGTTTTATTCAGAAACATTTTTACAAGGAAGTTTTCTCTGTTCGGGACCTTGTTCATTCGTCCACACAATTTATTACTAATGGTCGTATTTAGATTCTCCAAAGTTCGTATGTTATTTAAATAAACGTCTCTTTGAGGAAAATAAATCCCTCGTCTTATACTGTAAACCACAGTATCTTATACTGTAAACCATAGTATCTTATACTGTAAACCACAGTATCTTATACTGTTAATCACAGTATCTTATACTGTAAACCACAGTATCTTATACTATAAACCATAGTATCTTATACTGTAAACCACAGTATCTTATTCTGTAAACCACAACCACAGTATCTTATACTATAAACCATAGTATCTTATACTGTAAACCACAGTATCTTATACTATAAACCACAGTATCTTATACTATAAACCACAGTATCTTATACTGTAAACCACAATGTCTTATACTGTAAACCAGAATGTCTTATACTGTAAACCACAGTATCTATGATGTAAACCACAGTATCTTATACTGTAAACCACAGTATCTTATACTATAAACCACTGTATCTTATGATGTAAACCACAGTATCTTATACTGTAAACCGAAATCACTTTTCTCAGAAACTATCATTTCTATTGTTATTATATCTTTTATGCTCAATAACACAAGATTATAAACCATAGTATCTTATACTGTAAACCACAATGTCTTATACTGTAAACCATAGTAAGTATAAGATACTATGGTTTACAGTATAAGACATTGTGGTTTACAGTATAAGACACTGTGGTTTACAGTATAAGATACTGTGGTTTATGGTATAAGATACTGTGGTTTACAGTATAAGATACTGTGGTTTACCAAACTTTCCAGAAGATTCTCAGTGTGCCTCTGGTTCTTCTTGGGCGAACAGTTGTTAGGAAATAATCATTTTAAACCACGGATTTATTTACAGTAGCTTTGTGTGATTTGTAGTATTCTATTGACACGTGAAACAACCAAACTAGCAGTAAAGCCGAACTGTGTCTTATATGTCACAACAACAGTAAGAAACCTGAAAACACGAACTGTGTCTCATGTATCACAACAACAGTAAGAAACCGGTAAAACCGAACTGTGTCTTACAGTTCACAACAACAGTAAGAAACCTGTAAATCCGAACTGTGTCTTATGTGTCACAACAACAGTAAGAAACCTGTAAATCCGAACTGTGTCTAACGTGTCACAACAACAGTAAGAAACCTGTAAATCCGAACTGTGTCTTATGTGTCACAACAACAGTAAGAATCCTGTAAAGCCGAACTGTGTCTTATGTGTCACAACAACAGTAAAAAACCTGTAAAACCGAACTAGTGTCTCATGTATCACAACAACAGTAAGAAACCTGTAAAACCGAACTGTGTCTTATGTGTCACAGCACCACTGAGACCTTAATGAAGTGGATTTTCCTTTCTTCATGAAAGTTCAGGCAATTATAAAGTGGTGAAACTAATGCAGTATTTCTGTCAAACCTCTGGTTTCTATTTCCTGTCTTCTACTTGGTGTTCTGTGACCACTTCTATTTCTTGTGTTCTACCTAGTGTTCTTCAGTCTTCTGTGACCACTTATATTTCCTGTCTTCTACCCAGTGTTCTTCAGTCTTCTGTGACCACTTCTATTTCCTGTCTTCTACCTAGAGTTCTTCGGTCTTCTGTAACCACTTCTATTTCCTGTCTTCTACCCAGTGTTCTTCGGTTTTCTATAAGGTTTTTGTTTCGTGAATAATGTTGTTCGCATTTTAACAGAAAATAGCACAACAAACGCCTCAAGCACAAAATCTAGTCTTATGTCATGGCACGTGCCACGAGCCTAAAGACGTCGACTTCGTGTGTGGCCATTTATTTAACCAATAAATATTCCTAATATCAGAGCAGAAGAACAAGTGTACAGTCAATTGGAGACTTCCGAGTAATTAGAAGGTTCAGTCATCTTGAAACACGTGACAGCTTGACAATAGGGGTTTTGTTGGGAAGTGTAATCCATAGTCTGCGAAAATGAATGAACTCAAAACATTTAATTACCGCACATTTGTTTTATTTATTGATGAATCTATAATCTGCCAGATTGGACTATCGCAGAACTGTTAACCAAACAATTGATGTTTTGTTGTGGAATCTATAGTGTGTTAGGTTGGACCATCGCAGAACTGGTAACCAAACAATTAATGTTTTGTTGGGGAATCTATAGTCTGTCAGGTTGGACCATCGCAGAACTGGTAACCAAACAATTGATGTTTTGTTGTGGAATCTATAGTGTGTTAGGTTGGACCATCGCAGAACTGGTAACCAAACAATTAATGTTTTGTTGGGGAATCTATAGTCTGTCAGGTTGGACCATCGCAGAACTGTTAACCAAACAATTAATGATTTGTTGGGGAATCTATAGCCTGTCATGTTGGACCATCGCAGAACTGTTAACCAAACAATTAATGTTTTGTTGGGGAATCTATAGTCTGTCAGGTTGGACCATCGCAGAACTGGTAA